AAGTCCACAGCAACCCCTGTTGTGCTGTGCACCAACCTGTTTTGAGAGGAGGAGAGGGGAGGGGAGGGGAGGGGAGAGGAGGAGACTCTTCATAGTCATTCTAACTTTGGGGAAGGACTTGCCTGGTGACAGGTAAGGTGCAGAAGGTGAATGAGGATGCAGCAGAACGTTTCTACAGCCTGCCTCTCTGCTGGATGGCACTTGGCAGCTACATCTGCTGTATTTTCATCAGACCTGGTAAGAGTACTCTCAAAAGCAGACTTCCAGAGCTGTTTCCGATCGGCGAGAAGGATGGGATGAGAGTGTCCAAAGCAAGGGGCCATGCACCAGGGGCGCTCTGCAGCATGCCTTAATCAACTACATGGTGTAGTCACCCCAGGCCTTTAGTCTTAGGAGCACAGACAGTTTGGCCTTCCTTAGCCCTGGGTTCCTTTGTCATTGCTAGTTTTTCCCTTAACCCCCTTATGAAATTTTGCTCAAATACCAAACTGACTTTTTTTTTTTTTTCCTCTGGAACGGGCGATTGAGCTCAGGCCCTTGCACTTGCCAGGGAAGTGCTTATTCTACTGAGCTCAACTGACAATGTTGTCTGACTTTCTACAGGGACCAAGGTTTACAATCTGAGCCAATGAACCCTACCTTCAAATTGGCTTTCACTAAGGAAATATATGCTCCTCTTTGACCCCCATCCGGGCTGTACACACACTGAAAAAATGACAACAGTTTCTTCCTAGAGAAAGTACAAGCCATGTGCCGTGCTTATAAGCCTGAGCTCATGCAACTCAGGGCAACTCCACCTCAGTCAACAACGGAGGAAGCTCTTCATTGCCATCTATGTGCTACAGTAACTGCTGCCACCAACAGCACTTGCATGGCAGCTGTGTTGAGCTGCCCTAAACAACCTGGCCACCTGCCATCGTGTGCCCATCCCGCCTGCTGAAGTGCTTCAGCAACTGTCACTGGAATGTGGGAAGACTTGAATAAGAGATTTGAGATTGCTACTCGCATCCTGAAATCCTCAAGGAATTTATGAATATGAGCACCACTACAGGTAACAGTTTCTCTTTAGTGGGGAGATATGCCAGTGCAGCCCCGAAACTGGATACAGAAGTTGTCGGATTCAGGGTAGAACAGAAGACTCCAAGTCCACAGCAACTCCTGTTGTGCTGTACAACATCTGTTTTCTAATTGATGATGAAAAAAAATCACAACATCCATCCTAGCAAGTTGACCTACAGGATGAAAGACCTAAGGGTCCAGCTCAAAGGAGAGGGACAAGATCTCTGCTACAAGACCCCAGTCAGAGAGTAACAGAAGGGAACCAGCCTTGACCGGCAGAGCCCACTGCAGGTAGCTCCCTGCGCACGTCTGTGCAGCCTTTTAAGGCTAAGACAAGACCTCACCTGCAAGACCCAAAGCTGAAGGCTGCTTTCTCTTCTTGCACCTCTTCTGGGGTTCTATAATAGCCTACATTTGCTCCAGGCGAACTTTATTTATTTATTTTGGTGAAACTGGGGATTGAACTCAGGCCCTTGTAAGCGCTTATTCTACTGAGCCATCTCCCTGGCCCCTCAAGACGAACTTTACACAGCTGGAGTTAAAGTCTAAAAGCTTTTAAACATTTCTACAGCATAGTAGAGAAATAAAGTTTTCTTTGGAAGAGGGGAAAAATAATTACTATCTAAAAGGTTTTTTGTTGTTGTTTTGTTTTGTTTTGTTTTAAGTAAGGGTCTATAAGGTCTCACTATGTAGATTGGATGCATAGTGATGCTTTTCAGCCTCCCAAGCACTGAGATTACAGGCTCACGCCACCACGCCCAGTCTCAATAGCAGTCCCAGCGCACCTCCGGGGGAGGGCCAGCCTGGCACACAGGATCAAACCAGCAGCCGCATCTGCCTAAGCAGGGGCACCATTTAGCTATTTGGCCAGCCCCTGAAACAGTTTTTTAAAAAATTAAACACTGGGGCCGGGGAGATGGCTCAGTAGAATAAGCACTTGCCTGGCAAGCGCAAGGGCCTGATTCAATCCCCGATCCCACCAAAAGTAAATAAATAAATAAACACTAACGTTAAAGAATTTTTGCTTTTGCAGTATTTGCCTAGTCTTGTCAGACAATTACTAACGACAGATGAAAAGTCAGCTGTGAGTTTGGCTTTTGGGGAACAGGGAATCTGGCCACCCACAAGTGCAAAGAAACAGCCACAGTCTGCTGTCCTGGTTCCCAAAACTCCTGAAATTTATTTCAGGTGACAGGACCCATACAGACTAACAAAATAAACACAAAAATAAACAGCATCCTCCAAGCCTATTTTTCTTAGCAAAGGTGAGAGATGTAACACCAGGCTTAACATCTTTCAGTCTCTGTATGTGGTCTGTTTCTCCCCAATCCTGCCTCCAAACTGAAGAGACATTTATAGCAGTGGCACTAAAACTATTTCTCACTTAAAGAATTTCCTGTCTGAGATAGATACATCCAGTATAGAAAGTATAGAAAAGAGTACAAATCACGCTTTTAAAAACACTTTTCGTTTTGGAGGAGATGGATGGGTCAGTATGAAGAAGAAAATTGGGTTAATTTATCCTGAAAATCACTACTATTTATTTGTCCAGGCCCCATGAGAATTTGTGCCAAGCACTTTCATTCATTTTACAGCACCTAGCACACTGCTGACTGTGTGAGAAGTATTAAATAAATATTTGTAGGTTGGTGGAAATTCTACATGACAATTCTGTGTACAGGCAGGAAACAGAAGCCCACAGCAGTCACCCAAACTAGAAGGCAATGCAAGGTTTGGTTCTCAGTGCCAACATGTTCGAGTTACACAATTTGGGAAACAAATGAGATAAATTCTGCCACATTCATAGCCATAGTTCAATATGCCACTTCTCTTTGAGGGCTAAAAGTTTACTTGCAAAAGAGAAGCTATAATTAGGTGCAAATATCTTAAATGCACACAATGTAATTGTACAGGCCAGTTGTGTGACTGTTTGCTTGTTCTCTAGTTCAAGACTGTTCAGGTTGCTTACATTTATAACAGCAGCATGCCACTGAGCCCTGAAGCACAGAGGCAGACTACAGCTAGCCCTGAACTTCTAGTGATGCCACAGGCTTTGAAGTGAACCTTTCTAAATACTGTGCAAAGCTCCTAACACACACACTGCTATTAGCGTATAGCCAGATTAGGTCCTTGCTCTGTGCTCATCATAGGCAGTCCATGGGAAATAAAGAAAACATGCTCAGTCCTACAGCACTATGAATGTCAAAACTAAAGGTGACATGGACAGAATTTGGTAATAACCAATTATAATTTGGCTATATAAGATCTCTATGCTTATACATCTTAAACTGAGCTAATATCTCTAAGGACCTTGCTTTCTTTGGCAGGGGAAAGATCACACATTTCAAAAATAGTACTTAATGGGAGGGTCTATTAAAATCACAGTGGATCACAGCTGTCAACTCTGTAGAGTGCCTTTCTCCTAAAAGCTCAAGTGCACAAGCTGGTGCAACGCCACAGATGCAGGTGCTACGAGGGGCTGCAAGGAAAAATCAGCTTTATTCACAACACTTTGCATATAAACTTTTCCTTCCTTGGACTCATGTGCAGTTGAAAATAAAGGGTGCTAAGATGCACATTATGCAGCACTTTAAAAAAAAAAGGCACTTTATTTGAGTGAAAATTATTTATCTACTCAAAATTTGGGAACATTTACATCCACTATAGTCCAAATTTAACCCCCAGTGACAGAAAAATACTGTATGAAAATGGAAAAAATTAAATAGTATTTAATCAACAGCTGATTACCTTTAAAACTTTGGGCTTCTTTTCCCTCTGGGGCCTCTTGTTTTCTTTTATAACCTAAAAAAAAAAAAAAAAAAAAAAAA